CACCGGAAGTGGAGACCCACTTGCAGTACAACTTTTCGGTGTGGAGCTTGCAATAAGAGAATTCGGGCTCTGCGATTTCGGCGCACATACCATCCAGTCCCCAGCAAAGTTGATGACGCTCACATGAATTTCGAGGCGGGTCGTGTAAAGAAATGGCTGCCACCTCATTTCGAGCTAAGCATACGAAGCAGGCATGGTCTTCACAAAATTGTTGATCGTTGCTAATTCTGCAATTCAGACACTGCTTAGCTAAACACAAGTGATGTTTGCAATAAATTTGCTCGGGAGCCACGCCTTCATTGCACAAGTGCCCATCATCTTGTGTAAAACAACACGAATGCTCTTGACAAAAGAGGCTTTTGACGGCGCACACTTGGAAACATGATGTAGTTGCATACATGCATGCTGGTCGGGGGCAAAAGCCGGAAATCCACCTGTAGAGCACTTCTTGAGGATCGATACCGAGATCGTAGTGCTTTATACCTTCGTATAAGCCTGCAAAATCCCCATTGTTGAGCACCGGCTTTTTCTTCAGCACACATCTCACGGCATCGATAGGTGAAGAAACAACGCACTGGTACACTAAATCCACGATAGACTCCCACCCGGAGTCGCCCTTCATTTCGTCCTCGTTCTCGCTACTTTCTCGCACCGATTGATCAATCGATTCGCCAACCTTGTCACCAAACTTACCATCAATATTTAGAATATTCTTCATCTGCAAAAGTGTTGCCACGACCAACGACGCTGCTGGTACAGCCTTTTGTACAGCTTTAACCTCTTCAAGACCCATTGAACTAGCATTGCCGACAATAGTAGCATGAGCCTCAAAAATTGGCGTAAAGTTGTCACGAAACTTGATCCAATCCTCGCGGAATGCCTGGCAACCATCAATGCGCTCGGAAACGACCTGCACTTGTGGATCGGAACGAGCAACATTGCGCTCTCGATACTGCTCAAGCTCTGGTTCACTACATCCTCCTCCAATGCGAACGAGTTTCTTAAAACTGTTTCCACGATAATATGTTCCAAAGCCAGAATCTCTTGAGACATGGTCCAGCGCGGGATCTGATCGGAGCAATTCTAGTAGGAACTCGTCAATTGCGTGGTTCTTGTACGACAAAACGAGTATCGGAGGGTCACCGACTTCACGGTTCTTTAGTTTCCAAAAGTCTCGCACAATGAGCAAAGCGCGGACGACAACGACACCCAAGTACGACTTCCCTGTTCCAGGTGGTCCTTGCGTACAATGCACGGGAAATATTAGCGCCTTGGCGAAACTTTTCAATTGGCCTGAATCAAGCGTTGCACTATTTACCAGCTCCGCTAGTGATATTACTAGACGACCTCGCAGTGCCTCATCTCGACGAATATCAACGATCGGGTCAAGTAGTGATGCACAAATCACATCTCGAACCAATTTTTCTGTGTCAGCTACGCTTTCGCTCGCAGTGGACTCAATACTCTCGTCGCCAATCGCATCCTCGACGACAGCCAGTTGTTCAAGACTAAAGTCGGCTTGCTCGCATAGATTGAGAAGTGCACCATCTTGGAATGGCACTGGCATTTGACGTTGCTTCTCCAGCGCCTTTAACACTGGAATAAATTCCGGCACAAACGTTTGGCAATCAATGATTGCAATTGCGTTTCCAGCACTCGGGTTTTGCGTAAGCATGGTATTTCCTGGCTCATCAAGATACTGAAGGAGACGCAACGTCAAGCATCCAATCTCTCGAGCTTTATACTCGTCAAAACTTTTGCCCTGGAAGATAATCTCTCCCCAATAAATTTCATCCGAGTTCCGCAGCGATACGCCGCGATTAGAAAGTCTCACGATACCTACCAAGTTAGGACTTGACAGTCGCTTGGTCGTCTTCCAGTGGATGGGATTTATTGGCGGTTTCCGTGATGCCACTTGCTCAATAGAAATGGTGCCGTCATATTTGATTTGCGAAATGGTCCCGTCATAGATGTGTGTCGAGGCATGCTTGGACGGTGGTCCTCGCAATCTCTGCTGGTATTCGCCAGCACACTTGCTACAGTATCCCTTGGCGTGCTGTCGGTGCACACACAAGAAGGTTGCATATCGATCACATTGCGAGTTTTTGCAATTCGTAACGCTATTCTTCTCTGGAAACGGCCACAGTGGTTGGTCACAAACTTTGTCCCCCATCTTCACCGTGCAGTGCGGTAGTAACGCGTTGTTACCTTCTACAAATGTCATTCCAATCCATAGTTGCACAATCGTCGCAAAGTATTCGTCTTTACTTCGATACACTCTGCCTTCGTTAGCTCGAGCGAGTTGCATCTTTGGCAATTGCGCCGGCTGAAAACTCTTGTAGTCAGCCAGCCACGCCACGGTTGGATGCCGCCAATCAATTAACATGACGTTGTCGTCGACTGAGACAGCCTCGCATTTTATCACTTTGATGCTCCATGGCTTCTCGACCTCACTTAGTAACGCAGTCAATCGACTTCGCACGGGACGATGTGCTTGCAGTCGGATATTCAAACTCGCGTCTGCTTGAGCAATCATCTCGTCCAGTGCATCCTTCACATCGTCTCGGTTCAAGTCCCACGTAGCTTTTAGTAGACTCGTCACCACTCGATCCACGAGTTTCACGCCTTCAAGTGTGACGTCGTTCTCGTCGAACGCATCGCCTTCGACGTGCGTCGCTTGCGCTAGTAGCGCGCTCACTGCTTTGCTAATTGCAGGCAGAGGCACGCGCGCACGCGACGCCGCCGAGAATGGCAGACGCGCTACGGCTGACAAGAGGGTTTGCAAGGCATCCAACGGGAGCCGGTCGACCTCTTGCCAGCAAGTCAGCCACGGCTTCTCCAGCTGGTCCAGCACCTCTTTGAGCCTATGATTCGGGCAGCGCCTCAACGTGGACCGAATGAACTGCAAACTCGACGGATTGGACGCGACCTGCTCGTTGCGGACTGTACTTGTCGCTCGACCACAAGCGCTGCCTCCGCTTGATCGACCTCCACGGCCACCGTCTCGTCCTCGTGTTTGACCCCTTCCGTGCGTTCGAGTGCCACTGGTGCCCCGCCCCCGCCCTCGGCGGCCTCCACGAGACCCACTGCCAGCGGTACCTCTGCCCGTCGTCATGACCGGTCGCTTCGCCGTGTGATTTCTTCGCTTCTGCTCTGCGCTCTCACACGAAAGTTATCAAATGCGCATTGGTAACTCGAAAGAGAAGACGTAGAAGCGAGCGGTACGGATCGGTTGGATGTGTTTAAAACGTTGCCAACAACGCCAACGTTTTCAAACGGGCTCGACAATGCGGGATCCCTTGGATGGACAACTTCAACTTGACCACGATCTGGTGTCGAGAAACACCAGTTGACAGGTTTTGATGGTGCCGACCGGAAGTTTTAATCTGTTCAACTGGGACCACTGTTTCTTTCAGTTGAACATAAAATCGTTTCGAAGCAAATGTCTCGAGCGCAAAAGACCAGCAACCAGTTGGATCCGCTCAGCTGTAAAGCACTCGCAGAGTCGGACATGTGGAACGGCAGTAGTTTTGGCTGCCGTGAGCCACGGATAGCGGCCTGATAGTGGCGGCTTCAGCACATTTGTGGGGATTAACCTGATGTAAAAACTATAGTATTGGAAGGGTCATAGTAGGGTCTTGCAACGGGATGAGCCTGCTACATGTCTTTGACACGCATTGTGTCGATGTGAGTATTATCTTGAGCGAATTGCTATTTCCACCACATGTTTTGCTAATTCCACCACACGTTTTGCTATTTCCACCACATTACGCTTTTAGCAAGCTCCGCCACACTTTTAGCAAGCTCCACCATACTTTTAGGGCCCTGATGGCTGAACCACACCCTTTTGATATATGGACCACCCCCCAGCATAACCCCTTATCTGACCAATCAGAAGCAACGGACGCGTAATGCGGTGCAATGCCATTCAGCACAATATGTGGAAACACATGGGATGCTAAAGGGTGTGGTCCAGCTATCATGAGTGTAAATTCTGAGTGCGAGTAGAAAAATTAAGTTGTACGCCAACCTCGAGAAGTGCATATTCGCGGCCAGCGAAATCTCACTTCTTAGGTGCATCGTCGGTAAACATGGCGTAAGCCCTGATCCCGAAAGATTAATGCGATCACCGACTGGCCCGTGCCAATAGATGTCAAAGGACTTCGCCAGTTTCTTGGGCTAGCGGCGTACTTTCATATGTACTCACGCAACCACGCCGAGATGACTGTGCATCTTTCTTGTTTGCTCAAGAAAAATGTGAAGTGGTCATGGAACGCTGACTGTCAGCGTTATTTCAAAGGTATCAAGCAGCGCTTGATGCAATCGCCCATACTGGAGATTGCCGATCAGGACAGAACATTACGTGTGGTCTGTGACGCTAGCGAGTACACAATCGGCTGTGTCTTGATGCAGTACGACACAGACGGCGCGGAGCGCGTCATTTGGTATCAATTTCGTCAGCTGCAAGAAGCTGAGCGCAATTACCCAGTGCATGACAAGGAACATCTTGCCATAAAGTATGCACTGGCTAAGTTCCGCGTCTATCTTTTGGGAGATAGACCGTCCATCGTCTATACGGACCATGCGTCACTACGCACGGCCGTAAACATTCCCCAAATCTCGCAACGAATGGCGATGCAGCTTTCTTTCTTCGCGAAGTACAACTTCTCCGTAGAGTATAAACCAGGACGACTGAACGTCGTCGCTGATGCACTTTTGCGTCGGTCCGATTTTGAGCCAAATACAGGCGTCCGCAGTGAGGCATTGCCCAACGTTGCATCACTGTCGGTCAGCGTGCCGTCGTCGTTATTACTCGATGACGCGCGGACGGCATACGCAAGATATAGGAATCTCCTCCGTTTGGTAAATTACCTTGCGAATCCATCCCTGAAATCCTTGTCAGATTTGCCGGCTTTATAACTTTCCTCTTTGGATCGATATACGACTCGAAACGGTCTGCTGTACTATATAGCAGTTATCGGCGACACGCCTCGTTTCGTCGTACCTGATCATGATGATTTGCGTTCACGCATGTTCGAATATCACGATGCGCCAACAGGCGGGCACCGTGGTAGAGAAAATACTTACATTTCGGTAAGTTGTGACTTTTACTGGCCTCGATAGTATCAGTTCATGCGCAAGTACATTCGTTCTTGCGCGGTATGTCAGCGGGTGAAGCCTAGACCTTCGTCTCGCGCACCGTTGCAACCTATGCCGGTCCCGGAAGTGTTGGTAGTCCGTTCCATGGTTTTTGGCTTTGGTTTATGCACCGACACTCCCAAGAATAATGATATTCTTGTGTTTGTGGATCGTTTCAGCAAGATGCACCATCTTTCTGCAGTACCCGAGTCGATCACGGCACATGGATGTGCGCGTGTTTTCATCGACCCAGTATTTCGACTCCACGGTTTACCCCGTGAACTCGTGTTCGACCGTGACCCTCGGTTTACGGCGGCGTTTTTGCAATCCGTGTCCGCACTTTGGAAATACGGTTGAAGATGCACATCTCTGATTACCCGAAACAGATGGCCATACAGAACATGCAAACCGTGTCCTTGAAGAAATACTCTGAGGGTACGTCCACTCAATTTCAAGTAGGAGCGAGGTCTTGCCGATGGTCGAAATTTCCATCAACAACTCTGTGCATGCGTCCACGACGCATACACTGTTCTATGTGAATGGATTATACCACCCTCGTATTCCCACTCTTAGACTGATTGACTTTGAATTAAGGGAGGAGGGACTCGCTCGAGCAAAAACAGTGTTGTCTCTTGCTCATCACGTACCACCGCACACGTCGATACGTTTGAGGTGGATCTTAGCAGTAGAGATGACGATGATTCCTTACCACATCACACCAGCGAGGGAGTTGACACCCTCGCTGACGAAGCGAAAACACTAATAGCAGTGTGCACGAAGCGCACTGAAAGGGACAACAAGAAGTCAGCAAAAAAACTCTCTATTGACTCGAGAGGCGGTATTCCGTTTCGTTTAGGAATCCATTTTAAACTCGGTGGATCGGCAGAAGCGGAACTCTGACAAGAATGGAAGAGCAAAAGCTCTTTCATTTAAGATTAACAACCCATTCTTACGGTCTTCGGTAAACTTACCTAGACACGCAGTCACGAATGTCAGCAGTAGTGAATGACTGCCGAGATACATCAGTCCCTTTCGTGTATTGCACTGACAAGACAGTGCATCACCATTAAGTTTCCTCGTAGGATGCGAACGCCTTATATGTTCTATGTTGGTGGTATCCGCCGGTACTATCAATAAGAGGCCTTTTATGATAACGGAGACAACCTCCCGCTTAAGAATGTTCAACAGACTCTAGTGATCACGGACCAAACTCTCAATTATTACCTACGCAACACAGTCTCGCGATGAGCCGCGACTAGCTCGTCGCTCAAGTGAAGAATCTTGCGTCCGTTCTCAAGCGGAGCGAACGCGAATTCTGATCGGTCTTTCTCCCGATCAATACGAATCCGTCGCATGGTCCTCATAAAACTGTGCCGACGACTGTAATCGTGCTCCACGTCCTCCCTCAACTCGGTCAGGACGCGGGAATCGCGGGCACAAATCTCCTGCAGGCCCGGCGGCTGAGCCGGACCTTGTCTTTCCACCTCTACCAGAGCCGCTAGTTGAATATCACGGTGACTGAAGCTTTCACGTGGGGCGTGTATTGAGCCACCGCGTGAAGAGCGGGGGGGGCGAACAAATTACTTAGTTCGCTGGTGGGGGTATCCACCTTCGTATGACTGTTGGGAGCCTCGGTCCCATTCGATGGCTGATGTTGATAGTCTCGCCCGCCAATATGACGAGACTAATTCGATTGGTCCGAGGGATCATCGGTGAACACGCACTATTGCTTATTAACGGATTATAAGTTTGAATCATTATCCCGCACATCAGCCGAGATGTATGCCCTTCCCCAGGGCAAGCTAAAAAGAGACTTCCGTTATAGCGCGCTGTCAGTTGTCTGCAAAATTTGCACATAGATCACCCCATGTGAGGCAAGTAATGCCTGCCTCACGTGACATACGATACAACCAATTTCGTGCACTGGTTAGCGTTCTCTTTTCAAACTTGACGCGCAACGTTTCAAGTTTTTATAGCCACGCTTCACGTCCAGAATTCATGTCGCCTTGAACGAACGCGTTCAACTCTGCCAAAAGAGAAGTCTTTTCACGCTTTTAGTTACATTGTACCATCGATGCTGGAGGAACGCATCAAAATTAAAGTATTCTTCAGCGCGAAACTTCTTCGCACTGAAACCTAAGCCTTGGAGCTTTCTCGAATCTAATAAAAGGATTTGATGGTACTGTTGTCTTATAATGCAATCTATTGACGAGCTGATCGGGCAGGCGCCACGTCTTCAGCTCATCATACTTTGACGTTTTACCTTCATGGTACCATAGATTTAAAGTGACGACGGATCGCGCCATCGTCAACGCGCTCGTGAGAAGAGGCACGAGTTGACCGTGGTGATGAGTAATTAAACTCATCATCGCTGCCAAAAAGACTGTGATGCAAGTCGCGAGTCCATTTGTTCGGCAGATATTTCGACGAACGAGGCACCACAAGCGATGCCTCTGGAGCCTTTCTCGAGTCACACACATCTGACTCGCCGGTGTAGCTGACCCCTGACTCGGGGTCATCGTGTGCACGAGGTGGGATACCACGTGAGCTTGCAGCAAAGTGTGCTGCAGGCAGAAAACGATCAGTAGAAGACACATCATCTGCCGCAGAGACTGGCGCAGCAAAGAGTTTTGTGGTCTTTGATTCACCCCGCATAGACATGTTAACTTTGCGTGACAAGTTCAGAAAATGGATCTGACTCTACAAGTGCTTTTCGGCTCGATGGTGTACAACGGGTGGCCACCAAGTTTCGAATCTCAACGTGTGACTGTCAGTTAAGAGGGGGTGATGTCAAGGGATACCCCGTTAATGAAATTGCCATTAAGGAGAAAATGGCAGTAAAGAATATATCGTTGAATATTCATTTAACAATATCACTAAGTATACTGATATTGTTGGGATGACAGTAGGGTCAACTCATTGGTTAATATCGTGATGATATCAACCCACCAATCGATGCTAGACGCGCGCAATAGG